ACGAACAATGGCGCCAGTAATAATGGCGGCGGTGCATCCGCATCATCCACCGAACAACAAGCAGCGGAACGTCCCCTTTTCGATGCATCAACGGAATCCGGTGAACAACAACAGGCCGTATGACAAGAGCCAAGCGGCTTAAGCCGCTCCGTCAGATTCATTTTGATTCTACCTGTGCTCTTGGTCTTCATTTGCACCATTTTTACCATTTTGATACTCCTACAGATTTATACTTAAGGTACGAAAAAAAAAAGTATACAAACCGATTAAATTAAAAAAGACAAATAAATTTAACGACAAATGTCGCGTTATCCACGCGCCCGCGAAAGAAAATTTAAAACAAAATAATAAAAGGGATAAAGAAAAATAACGAATAGAAGGAGAGAAAATACGTAAAGAAAAAATAAAGGAGCAAGAGACAAACAAACGCGACGAACGCGTACGTTTGCGAATATTTACGAAGATAAAAAAGTAAAGAAAAGAAATGATAAGATAAGATGAGAAAAGAATCGCAAATTTTTTCGCAGGATTTTAATTATTATCGATCAATTTTCTTTTCGATGAACATTTCGAAGCGTCTCTACTTTTTTCTGACCCCCGACTCTACCACCTACCCCCCTCACGCCTACCCCTTCGTGAGTGACGTTTCGAAAAATAGAAGATGAAGAAGAAATTAAAAAGGGGAAAAGAAAAAACAGAAGAACAGAAGAAGAAAATGTTTATAATCGACACAGAGAAAGTAATTAACGTGATTTTTAATAGATGATTATGATTATGATTATGATGATGATGATGACGATGACTTTGACAAGTGAAAAGAATTAAACAAATATAACAACAAAAACAATAATATTGATAAATGTTTTTCAAAGAAATGTTAATGAGTATGCATACATGCATACTCATTAAACACACACCACACACACACACAAAGAGACACACATATACATACGTTTGACTCGCATACACTTATTCGTTTTTCTGAAAACGTTCGCGCCTTGTTTTGTTGGTTGCGCGATTTCCACGTGAGAAACACAGACAACAAACTGGTGTAATCAATTTGAAACGTTTTGAGCGCGTCAATTAAAAAGACGCGCGTGTGCTAATAATAATAATAATTCGTAAAAAGAAAAAAGAAAAAGTTCCTGTTTGTTAAACGCCTCGATCGAAATTGTAAAACAATCAAATTCGCTAGAGTGCGTTATTTGTCTGTAAGAAAGATTTTCCTTTTGCAAAATGACGATTGATGGATGATATATTTTTTTGGAAGGGGAAAGAGAAAAAGATATAAGAAAGAAATATTTAGATAGGAAAAAAAGAAAGAAAGTAAAAAAGAAAAAGAAAGAGAGATAGATGAAACGAATTAAATGAAAGAATGGGGGAAAAATCGAAACCATAAACAACAAAATAAATAAATAAACAAACAAACAAACAAACAAACAAAATAAAATAAACTGCGAATCCTGCCGTTCGTTTTGGAGAAATCGAGACTGGCAACATCGTCCAACGAGGATTTAGAAAATTAATTGCAACGGGCTCTTTATTATTATTATTATTATTATTATTATTATTATTATTTTGCTATTTATTGGTTCAATATTTTATATCGACATATTCTTATTCGATATTTTAAATAAATGGTCAGTATTTATAATAAATTATCAGTATCCATTTTGTATAAATAATTAATACTGACTCAACTTTGACGATACCACGAAACGCAATCCTATTTCTGTTATAAACATTGATCATCAATTAAAATATTGACAAGAAATAATTTATGATTTATAATAAATAAAATATTTCTACATATACTGACCATTAATTTAACAAAGTAACTGATCAAGAATGCTTAAAAATATTGATCAAATAAATATCAGTTTCTTCTTATTATTATTATTATTATTATTATTATTGTTATTATCTTTTTATTAGATAGTCATGAACCCGTTTTATTGTCTTACGAAGAATTGAAAGAAACCCTTACGATCGTAAGGACGTTCAATGCAAGTTAAATAGTATCTTTTAAAATATAGAATTTTAACAAATGAAACGAGGAAAAACAAATGGACGAGCGTAAAGTTTAAAAATGTGTGTGTGAATATAATAATGTAATAAAATTAATATAGAAAAATATGATTAAAAGAAATCATGGCTGGTAAGCTCAACGGACGTTTGAAAAAAAGGTATATTATAATTAATACGTATATCTTGACTTACGATTATGCGAAATCATTTGATTTTCGTTAATTATGCGCGTCAGACTGAAGTAAACGAGCAATAGTGTTATAGATTATTATTATAATAATAAATACATACATACATACATACATACACATACATACATACACCAATACATACATATATACGCGTACGTACACTTAAAAATACTTACGCACGTTCATAAATACATACAATACATGCATACTTGTACACTTGAATACATAATTACATACGTACGATAAAGGAATGATATACATAAATTAGAAATGTAAGAGAAAGAAAGAAAAAAGAAAAAAACGAAGTGTATCGTATAAGTGAGTAAGAAAGTCGTTTTACCACTTAAGTTTGTGCGAATTTTTCATTCGAATTTTGACGAATAATTAAAATACGTGGAGCCCTGCATATTTTACCAACCAATCCACCCACCCACACTTCAATCGTTCCATTATCCACCATCACAAAATTCTATCATCTCGTTCATCCTAATTACCTATCCTTCCCCCCCCCCTTTCTCCACTTTCCTTGGGCCCAAACCATATTCATTAATAATATATATATATTGAAATAAATAAATAACGTAATCGCGTAAACGTGAGCACGAGTCTCTTTCGAGTGCAAGGAATCGTCGATTTTATTTTCTAATTTCAAGATGTTATCGATTGAAATATCCATCCGAATAATGAAATATTATTATAGAAAAAGAAGAAAAAGAAAGAAAAAAAAAAAAAGATAAATAAATAAACCACACATTTTTTTAGCACGATTATACTAATCTCAATTCCTTGCTTAAGGGATGTAGGAATAATATTAATAAAAAAAAAGAAAAAAAAAACACACAAACAAGAAAGTTCAGTGAGATTCTAAACGTCTTGAAATTAGGAATTTTAAAAAGAAGGTTTTTAAAGATCGAGATTTAATAAAAAAGATATTGAAAAATCTTATAATAGTAAGTGATATTTGGAATGATATTTTCACATAAAGAGAGATGAAACTACGACAATTGTAACATATCGATTATGGGTGTCTATCGGTTACGATTAACGATTGACTAAGCTTAAAATGATAGTGATAACAAAAAAACAGAAACCAAAACGAACAATAAAGAGAGAGAGAGAGAGAGATAGAATGAATGTATGATAAAAGAAAGAAAAAGGGATATCACGTTTGTAAAAGTTCGCACATAGGATTTTTAGTAATTAAAATGGTAATATTATAAACTAAGCTTGAAAATTCGCGCCCTTTTTAATCGCCAATCCGCGTATTATGATCCTTGCACGAGAAAAGAAACGTGTTAAACGTGATGATGAGGTTTTTAACGAAAAAAGAAAAAAAAAAAAAAAAAAAAAGAAGAAATTTATTAAATAATAATACGAGTTTAATTGTTCGTTTTTTTTTTTTTCTTTTCGTGCGCAGTAAAAAAACAGAGAACTTAAGAAGATCGATCGTTAATCGATTAATTGATGAATTAATACTAATAATAATAGTAATAATAATAATAATAATAATAGTTCATTTTGGATACTCATTATTCGTCATGGGCACACAACATCGGATCAAATCATCATTAAATCATATTCGGATTCATTTAATTCTAACGAAATTCAAAACGTCGAAGTAAATAATATTAATATTAATATTAATAATAATAATAATAATAATAATAATAATAATAATAATAATAATAATCTTGAATATAATTACGCGTAAA